ATCATTTTCACATTGTACTGAGTAAAGTCGAGTACGTGGTGCAATCCGAAGCGAATTCTGAACAGATCATCTTCAGAGACCAATGAGCCCCTACAAGCACTAAAGCGTGCATCCCATGTGCATGCAATCACTTTTCGGATAAAGCTCAAGTGCACGGCGCAATCCAAAATAAAGGATTTTCAACATATTAGGATATCAGCTTGTAGAGCTCGATGAGCTGAGTTCAACGGTATTTCTTCTCCTGGATTACTTTATTTTGAAGCGATTTAAAAAAAAAAAGACTAAAAAGACGCGACTTCGCGGTATTCTCGTGAATTTTCGAGTTCTTACGGCGAGTACTGTATTTGCCTTGTGAACAGTTCTGGAAGCGTAAGAAGTCGTACCCCGTCCCCGGTTAATTTTGCTCAGAGATCAATTATCGATTGCTTTATTGTGCTTGCTGGAATTGAGATTGGTAAAGGTCTTCGAAGCCTTTTCCTTGGTTCATTCTGACTTTAGTTTGCGAAATTGACTTCAAAATCCCAAATCTGGGGGCAACGAAAGCAAAGTATCTGTTGCATTAGAAGAATTTGTGTGTATTCACCTTTAGCAACTGCGAGTGGAGAAGACGGCTGTGCTCCGATAAAGTCCTTGAAGCGCTCAACTTGGACATGGTAAGCTTTCTGAGAATAATTATAATACAATAAAAAGGAACGATTGGCAGTACAACATATAGCACGGGAATCAGCTTTTTCCATTCGTAAACATTCAGATGACCGCTAACACACTCAGAGGTGATGTTGTAGCCAGTTTCTTCCTGTATTGCTGATTTCACATCATCCGCATTGCTGCTGGATGCAGAGAATATCACCTGGAATTGTCTATCTTGTTATTGACATCGTGTACTGATGTTACAAATTCGAAACATGGACAGCTTATGTGTATATTGTGTCTATAAACTTATAGCGTGTTGTCGATAACGGATAATGCGGTAACTTTCTGCTGCATAAACCGTTGCCCTGTGTAACGGAAATTCATTCCTCCTCTGCTTCTCCCTCTCTAGTAGTACTAGCTTTAGCGTTTTCGAATGAATAGCCATCGGTTTATTTGTCCGACAACAAGGTCACTGTCGTGACCCCTACGACTATTTATCGTCAGAGCTGTCATTGCATTACGCAGCATTGAACGCGCACTACCGTTTTCGATCATTTAAACGCTCCGTGTCGACTCGCAATGCTGTTTGGGCGCCGTGGCGTAAAGTGTACACGCACTATCATCATTTCGCTTGCCATGCCGCATTTCATTATAGTTTCGCCATTTCTCGTCGCAATCTCTTCTTCGTATTGGCTAGTCGTCTTCGTATATTCGTTCGCCGCCGTCAGGACATCGTCAACAGCCACGAACGCCAGACGCAGGAAAGGGCAAGGACTCTGACATGTGGGATAGAGGATTAAGGAGGAGGGCTGCTAGGCTATCGCCATACAGTCCATGCCACCTGCAGGCGAGCATCGATGATTCACAGAGGAGATAAGGAAGCTGTGCAGAAAGGTTTCATTATTTTTGCTTGTGTTTGTGAGGACACAAGTCGGGGGAGTAGGAAGGAAGGAGGAACGGACGATCATGTTGCCACAGATTCGCTTGCTCTGGTGGTCGATCTGTACGCGGCCGGCGTAGTGTCGTAAAATCGACAATCGCAGCACCGCGTGGCAAGACAGCGAGCAGGACAGCGCAGGTACCGGCGTTTCCGCATCGACCGATACGCGGCGCCCCTCGCAACAGTAACCAGGACTACGGCGAAGACATGGTGGTCAGTTTTCTTAATACTTGAAGCGCTTACTCTCTGGTCTGTGGTTGTCTTTAAGTCGTGTTGTGGGTCATTTTGCAAAAAGTCAAGTAGGTGCGATTTCGAGGGTGATATGCCACGTGGGCGCGGTAAGCAACGCGTATGATATAAGAAGTTAAAGTTATTTGTTTATATTGATCCCCAACCAGTAGTAATCATTCTATGATGAGACTAAAGCTTCAGAAAAGAAAGGAAGCATTAGAGAAACATCTGCATTGACATCAGTTGGCATCAGGGTCGCCAACACTTTGCTGACTGTTTTCCACTACATCTCTTATAGATAATTTTCTATTGTAATATGCACGCAAAATTTTAATGTGAATGTTCATGTTAACTGCGCACTTGAACATTTAAAAGAACCAATACTCGTAATATACCAATAAGAACTTCACTCTTGATGAGTGATTTTAAAAAATAATACCGTATGATCGTAAGTAATTGATTATGGGCATGTGATGTACACGTTAGCGTGCTTAGCCCAACTGGTTAGGAAATATAATAGAAGCAGTTAACTTATAAAATTCAGCCGCTTCATTCTCTTTCGAGAATACCTTCGTGGGCTATCTTCGTCACTGATTTATTACCTATCGAAATTGTAAAGCAATAACGAGATAGCGATCATTAACCCATTGACGACCGCGTGGCCCGCCTGCGGGCCACACCATATCGTGCTCCTGTAGTATTTGTATTATTCATCAAGTGTTCTTATAATTTTTTCATGCTTTCAAGTAACAGCTGGGCTCACAGCCTTCTAGAGGATCTTGAGGCATCGTGGTCCAGGAATCATTCACTTCCAACTACAGTTATGAGGGAAATGAAAAGTTAATGTAAGGACAATGTAAAAGACGCGGTTGCCAATGGGTTTAGCCTAATAGAAAAAACAAGAACCCAGCTTAGCTTCGGTGGGTCAAGGAATAAATTAAATGTGAGGTAGCCCACCTGACTGATCCACTTGCTAGTCTTTCACTTAGGATAATCGAGGCAAATTCTCAAATATCCTAACGTAATAGCTGACAGTGTGAACTTAGATTGAAGCTTCTCGCGACAACTGCTGATTGGGTTTATTTTTATGCGAGTTGCTACATTGGAATAAACGCAGATCACCAACGTAGCTTGTAAAAATGGAAAAATTACTACTGCCTCCCAGTGATGTCAAAACAGAGACTCAACACTTGAGTAGTCTGAAAAAACTCTCCTACATTCCAAATTCTGTGTTTGTGGTTTGATGTGGTCACTTACAAAATACACGTATAAATGTTCTGGGAACTCACGAAAGTAAAAAGAGATGGCAAGTACATTAAAATAAGGAGAACTACAACTGTGCACTTCCTCGGAACAGCATTGTGCAACACATAGTAGCGATAGGCAAATGAAAACACCAAAATCCAGAGAGTATAGCCACAACTATGTACCATGGAACCGAATCTGAATCGTTAAGATTTGAAACATATAGCATGTCGAAAATTTATGTTCAGGACAGAGTTCACGATAATTTTAATTTATCAGTTTCAAGTGGATTAGTGGAAGCCTTAGTACAGAATAGTGCAAGGATTTCAAAGGAAACGCAAAAATCGCTGGATTTCAAAAAATATGGCATCAAAAAAGCAGCAGGAAAGGGGGTTGTGCGAGATGGCCGTCTGGGCGTATCTCATTCAAGCGTACTATTCGTTTCGTCCTGTGAATGGTGCAGTAATAGCAAGCCCGGCATAACACGGCCACTTTGCGTCGGCCAAACCCGATTTGGAGCTCATATTACGCCCTACCCAGGCTGCTTTTCGCATGACAACGACCCATACACAACTCTTGGAGTTCACAGACCTGTTGTAGCGAGAAATCCCAGAAGCCATTTCTATCGTGAACTCTGTCTTCAAATTGACGGGCTACAATGGAAGCTGACCAACTAACCACAGAGTTCTGCAGTATATACATCTTTAAGCAGATATAGACTTACCCAATGAGACAGACAATAGATTCAAAAAATTTACACGGTCCGTAGTAAAACAAGTACATGTTCTGGTTAGCAGTAACAATCCTGAAAGTTATCATGGACAACCATCAGGTATAATTAAATACTGCCTATGCGTAAGTAAGAAGAGTTAACAAGCCTTGTTCATCTTGAAGGCAGTTTCAACTCCACTCACCAAGTTTGAAATACTGCTGCTTGCTTAGCTGCTTGATAACGGCTATTCTGTTAGGGATAACGAGTGAAAAATGTGGTAGTACAGTGCGCCTTCACGAACAAGGCTACGACGTAACATTGACAAACGGAGTAATGCTACTTTCAAATTCAGAGTTTGGCAAAAAATAGGTCTTGCACATACTTTGCGTTTTCCCTTTATGCGTTTCTATAATCACCTCAACACTCAACGATCATTTGCCGTTGCTACTGATTTACACGAAAGAATATCACCACATTTTACTACTACAAATCTGGGACATGTGTGGAGTGGTCCGTAGGTATGAAGAGGCGTGGCAAGTTTAAAATTTGAATCATGAAATATTTTAGGCTGATTAAATAGTTAATGAGATCACGTCAGTAGGCCCATGCTGAACTTTCTCATGGTTTCAAATTTAGAAAAAATTTAGATCTTCACCTTGGTTGAACGAATAAAGCCGATGAGCATGCGAGAAGATCACTGATGCCAAAGTTGAAAAGAAGAATCGAATAAGTTGCGAGCTCTTTAGGGGTTCTCTTCAGTACGAGATAAATCAGGAGAACGTTGGCAGCAATTCCAAAAGAATTCGTGGCAATACGTGTGCAGGAAATTGCAAACAAAGTCCAATCCATTTTCTAAAGTTCTTTTCATCTTTCTAGACGACTATGATACGAACTAACCGATACCGGAGGGAGAAAGTCTGGTTGGTCCAAAATTGGATCCCTGAAACCATGTGTGTGCGTGATAGTGCGCCACTTGCCGCTACACCAAATAAATAGATATTGGAAATTTCCTTCTAGATACTAAGCTTGGACGAATCAAGTTTTCACGTTACTCGGGCTCCTGAAACTCTGCGTGAGTTGGGCAACACAATGGTGGAAAGCCTGAAGTCAATAACAGTCTAATGGAAATGTGCATATTCTAGCACGAGGGAAATATGAGTGTAAACGAAAGAAATAGAGGAGGTAGATGTCAAATATAAATCAGTGTTTATAGCTGTGTTTACAGCTGAGTTGTTTGAAGAAAGGCTGGAATTCTTGTAATCAAATAACAAGTTCCCTTAAAAGGTAACCACGAAGGTAAGCTCGATATTGTACCAGGCGTGATATGTTGATCATTACCATGACCGAAGAATATTTATGGCGAAAAAAAAACGAATAAAGTTCTGTTGAAAGCCGTATAGCTTGCCAAGCAATACGCGTAACTCTGAGTCTGAGAAAACAATGAGAATGAAGTGTAGAGGAAATCATTTCGTTAGTAATGTCATTGCCTTGCAAGATTTTCAAGTGGAAAAATTTAATTAACGGATATGATTTCAACGCGACATCTCCCTGAAGTAGGGTAACTCGCACAACTCGAGATAAAAATATGGGTACTGCTTCTCCGAGTACTCCATCCATAATACTCTCAACAGATTGGGTCAGAATCAAAAACGATTACGTCAAAATTCTCAAGATTTTGACGTTGTTTTGATCTATCCAGTCCCTTGGTCTAGGCATTGTCCCTTACCTTGCTTAGGTGTCCGCTATTCCCTCCGCTTTAGACGTTCAGAATCATTCCTTTCTATATACAGCAGCGCTCAGGGGTCTTCAGCTAAACCGTATTTTTCAGTCGTAACTCCTTTCCTACTGGATCTGATCATGCGAAATTTCCATATGTGTAGCATGGGTGTATTGTGAATATTTACCACTTTAACCTGCAATCTGATCAGGTTCCAGATATTACAAAGAGCTTGAACACAACATCGACTGGAAATACGGATGATGGTCCTTCTGCGACTTAATTTCCTTTTGCCATGTCCAAAGTGTACGAAAGCTAAAGCCGAACACATTAGGAAAAGGTGAAAATAACTGCAGACGTCACGAACTTTGCT